GTTGGATTCATTCCAGGGGCACAAGGATGGTTTAACATCCGAAAATCAATCAACGTTATCCAACACATCAACAAAAAGAAATATAAAAACCATATGATAATATCAATAGATGCTGAGAAAGCTTTCGACAAAGTGCAACACCCATTCATGATAAAAGCCCTTGAAGTTCTTGGGATACAAGGAACATACCTCAACATCATAAAGGCCATCTATGACAAGCCAACAGCCAGTATCATTCTCAATGGTGAAAAGCTGAAAGCAATTCCATTAAGATCTGGAACAAGACAAGGATGTCCACTCTCACCATTGCTTTTCAATATAATACTGGAAGTCCTAGCCAGGGCAATAAGACAAGAGAAAGACATCCAAGGAATCCAAATAGGAAAAGAAGAAGTCAAACTATCACTATTTGCAGACGATATGATATTATACATAGAGAACCCCAAAAACTCCACAGAAAAGCTAATTCAACTCATCAATCAGTTCAGTAAAGTGGCAGGATACAAAATCAACACGCAAAAGTCAGTAGCCTTCCTATACACAAACAATAAATCTGAAGAAGAAGAAATCAAAAAGACCATCCCTTTTGTTATTGAAACAAAAAAAATCAAATATTTGGGAATAAATCTAACAAAAGAGGTAAAGGACCTATACAAAGAAAACTATAAAACACTGTTAAAAGAAATAGAAGAAGACACAAAGAAATGGAGAGACATCCCCTGCTCATGGATTGGAAGAATAAATATTATTAAAATGGCCATCCTACCAAAAGCAATATACAGATTCAATGCTATTCCAATCAAAATTTCAATGTCATTCTTCAAAGAAATAGAACAATTATTGATGAAATTCATATGGAATCACCAAAAACCCCGAATAGCCAAAGCTCTCCTGAAAAAAAAAGAAGGGAATGGAGGCATCAGACTCCCAGACTTCAAACTATACTACAAAGCCATAATCATCAAAACTGCATGGTATTGGAACAAGAACAGACATACAGACCAATGGAATCGAATAGAAAATCCAGAAATAAACCCACAGATTTATGGTCAACTAATCTTTGACAAAGGAGCAAAGAATATGCATTGGAGCAAAGAAAGTTTGTTCAATAAATGGTGCTGGGAAAACTGGGTCGCTACATGCAAAAGAATGAAGCTTGACCACCACCTCACACCATACACAAAAATCAACTCAAAATGGATTAAAGAACTAGACATAAGACCTGAAACCATAAAATATATAGAAGGAAATATAGGCGAAACACTACGTGATTTGCACATCAAAGACATCTTTACAGACACATCACCCAAAGCAGTGATAGTGAAGGCAAAGATAAACAGCTGGGACTACATCAAATTAAAGAGCTTTTGCACAGCAAAAGAGACAATAACAAAAACAAAGAGAAACCCCACCAACTGGGAGAACATTTTTGCTCCCAACACTAATGATAAAGGACTGATCACAAAAATCTGCAAAGAGCTGATGAGACTCAACAACAACAAAGAAAATAATCCAGTCAAAAAATGGGCAGAAGAGCTTAAAAGAAACTTCTCTGAAGAGGAAATGCAAATGGCCAACAGGCATATGAAAAAATGTTCATCATCACTTGTCATCAGGGAAATGCAAATCAAAACTACCATGAGATACCATCTTACACCAGTGAGAATGGCACATATTAAAAAAACTAGCAACAACAAATGTTGGCGAGGGTGTGGAGAAAAAGGAACTCTTCTGCACTGTTGGTGGGAGTGCAAACTGGTCCAACCACTGTGGAAAGCTGTATGGAGATTTCTGGACCTACTAAACATAGAGCTTCCATATGATCCAGCAATTCCACTCCTAGGTATTTACCCAAAGGACACAGAAACATCAATTCCAAAGAACACCTGCACCCCTATGTTTATAGCAGCACTGTTTACAATAGCTAAGCTTTGGAAACAACCCAAATGCCCAAAAGTAGATGACTGGATCAAGAAGATGTGGTACATATATACCATGGAATATTACTCAGCATTCAAAAAAGATAAACACATGCAATTTGCAGCAACATGGATGGCGCTGGAAGGGATCATGCTCAGCGAAATAAGCCAAAAAGAAAAAGAAAAATACCGGATGGTCTCACTCATAGCAGGAATCTAGAAAACTTAAATAAGGGACCAGGAAAATGAATAACTATAAGAAAGTGAAAATCAAAATCAACAAAAAACTATGAACCAGAGACACTTTTAGGGGGGCGGGGGTGGGAGGGGAGGGATTGGGGTCAGAATGGGGGGGCTGCAAGTGTATGGGGAATATAACAATAAAATTTATTAAAAAAAAAAATATAAATAAAGGACATTCACTTTGTCAAATCTGAATGATATTTTGGGGAAACTGGTGATGTCTGCTCCTGTAGTCATTTCCTATTGCTGTTATAACAAAATACCACAATGCTCGTCTTTTAAAATAACCCAGACTGGGGTGCCTCCCTGGTGGCGCAGGGGTTAAAGACAGTGCTATCAAGCTATTGCCAGCCACCACAGCACCAGTTATATCCCAAGCTGGCCAGGGAGCAAACCACGTGGTCAACAGACCTCTCCTGTCTCACCTGCTGCTCACCTCAGCAGTGTTGATTTCAGTAGATCTGACTGTTCTGCTCCCCGCCTCTGATGAATGCTCTCACCCCCCTGTACCTCTGGCTTACACCCCAGTTCTTGTATACATAAATAAATAAATTTTAAAAAATAGCCCAGACTTACTATCTGATGATTCTATATGGTCAGAAGTCCCATTTACCTCACTTGGCTGAAATCAAAGTGCTTGCAGGGCTGTGCACTTTCTAGAGATTCTGGAGAAGAATCTGTCTCCTTTCCTTTTCTAACTTCTGGAGTTTTGTGGTCCCTTCCTCAATCTTCAGTCAGCAAAGTTGCATCTCTCTGACCATTTTTTTTCCTTCAGTCATATGTCCTCTGATTCTTCTGCCTCCTTCTCCACCTTCAAGTGATGACACTGGGCCCACCTGAGTAATCAAGGAAATCTATCTACTTCAAGGTTAGCTGACTGGCCACCTTAATCCCACTTGCGAAGTCCCTTTTGCTGTGTAAATTTACATATTCCTTCCTGTCACTGAGTGGAGAATCTCAGTCGTTTCCAAATTTTAGCAATTATAAATAAGGCAGCTCTGAACATTTGTATACAGGTTTGTGTTTAAACTGAAGTTTCATTATCTGAGTTGAATGCCTAAAAGTGCAGGGCCTGGGTTTCATGGTATCTATGTGTTTAATTATATATAAAGAAACAAAAACAAAAACCTGCCAAACTTTTTTAGATTATGATTTTTACATTCGATTGCAGAGTTTTGAGCAGTGAAGTGATATGCAACCCAAGTGATTAAAAATCCACCTTGTCAGAAAGGTTGAGATGGCTATAGGGAGGGCAAAAGAAGCAGAGAAAGCAGAAGGAGCATCCACCATGATTCTGGTGAGACCCGAGGGTGTCTGCGGGTGTCTGCATGGGCTGGGTGAGTTTGAGGTAAAGAGAAGAAATAGAATAGGCAAGTGCTGAAGCTGTAACTGACATTTGCTGCAGAATTACTTTTGGAAATTGTAATGAGGAGAGGATCTGAGGGGAGTCCTTTGCTTCAGGCTCAAGCAGGTTGGTGAACAGTGGTCCTGTCTTGAGACCGAGAGAGCTTGGGCAGGAGTAAACACAGTGGGGTAAGGGCCATGTGTAATTTGATGTGTCTCTCAGATTTCCAAGTGGGAACGTTAAGTAAATAGTTAGAAATAGGATCCTGGAGCCCAGGGATGATTGGGAAAGAAGACATGGTGGAAAAGGGTGAAATAAATGTGCATGCCCATCATGGACCACTGTCCCCTTGATCTGGACCTTAGAGAAGAATGGTATTTTCTCCTTCCTGCTTCTTTCTTTTCAAACTTTTTACTGACTTAACATTGGTTTATACTGTCATACAAGTTCCAGGTGAACAACATATCAATATCTACATACATTTACATGCTGCATACAACATGTTCACCACCAAAAATCTAGTTTCCATGCTACCACACAGTTGACCCTTCTGCCCCCTTCCTCTCTGGTAACCATCAATCTGTTTTCTGAGTCCAAGAGTTTGTTTTGTTTTGTTTGTTCATTTGCCTTTCAATAAATTTTCCACATGTGAGTGAGTCATGCAGTATTTGTCTTGATCCTTCTGAATAATGCACTTGGCATAATATCCTCAAGGTCCATCCCTGTTGTCATAAATGGCAAGATTTCATCTTTTTATAGCTGAGTAGTATTTCTTTGTGTATTTATACCACATCTTCTTTAGCCATTCAATAGTTTTCATCCCTGGCTTTTCGAAGAAAATCATACCTTAGGTTTCAGATTCAATAGCAAGGGTAGTAATTACAATAATATACAAATCAAAAACAAAGACCCATGGACCCCAAAGTTACATTCTGGTTTATTTCCAGCTTCTCCTAGGGAACATCTTTGTATAAGCACAGCCTAGAGAAGGTTTTTGTCTTTCATTTGTCTATAACAAGGTTGCAACCGTGTCCTCTTTTTTTTAAAAAAAAAAATAACAAGTGTTAATTCAAACAAGTCCATTGTGATTTGTAATTATAGGAAGAACTCAATACAAATTTATTCTAGTATAAGCATCTCTATCTTACATTGTGATTTGGAGAGATGAAAAAATGCTGTAAAATATGGATAGTTGTTTTGTTTTTGGAATATTCCATGTTGGATTCTCAGGTTCTGGGCTGCCTTAGAACATTGTGAGCAGCAGCTGAGAGGCCAGCGCAAATCTGCTGCTGCTTCTATGGCTCCACAGAATTTGAGAGTGTCATTGCACTTCTGCTGCTCTGCAAAACCCACACAGACTTCCTCCCAGCTCACCTTCCACCTCTTGACAAAAAGTTGGAGGTGGAGATATGAGAGTGGATTTCTCACTGTCAATGTGAGGGTGCTGTACACCAGGCCTCCTGATGACAACTGCCACTCTGCCCCATACTCACCTCACAGTGCTCCTTGGAAAACAAAAGGTAGCTGACCCACAGATCTGAGGGCAGAGGACAGAAAGTTAGGTGTCTTTATTTGATTAGGTTTCTTTACACTTACTAAATCCTCTAGATACATAATATGTTAACTTTTGACCTTAAATGATAAAGTATTGGAATGAACTCTCTGCAACTCAAAGAACTCTTATGTCCTCCCTGTGGACACCAGTGGGTGACTCTGTCTTTTGTCCATGAGAATCAACAGTAAGACTTAAAAAAACAAACAGAGGGCTTCCCATGGTGGCACAAGGTGGTTGAGCGCAGTGCTGTGAAGCTGTCCGCAGCCTCTGCAGCTCTGGTTTGATTCCGGCCAGCGAGGGTCCCACATGGCCAGCAGACCTCTCCTGTCTCACCCGCTGCTCCCCTCAGCAGTGTATTTTGTCAGATTGCCTGTTCTGTTCCTTGCTCTGTTTCTGGTGAATTCTCTCACCCTCCCGCACCTCTGGCCTGTACCCCGGTTCTTGTATAAATAAATAAATAAATCTTAAAAACAAAAAGCTTGGTCTTTAGCCCAGGGCAATTAAACCAGAAACCTCTGGGAATCTTCCCTTTCTTGGTCATGAAGCCATGGTAAAGTAACATAGATACTGAGGTAGGACAGATTGTGATCCTCCAAGAGGTATCCAGATCAGATCCCAGGAACCAGTCCATGAATTTTAGCTTATTAGAAAAAGTGTCTTTGCAGCTGTGATTATGCTAAGGCTCTTGAGATAATCCAAATGGAGCCTAAATCCAAGTACTGTAAAGAGTCCTTTTAAGACACAGAGAGAATGAGACACACAGGGAAACAGGTGACGTAACCACAGAGGCAGAGGCAAGAGTGATGTGGACACAAGCTAAGGACCTGCTAGAGCTCCAGGAGCTGGAAAAGGCAGAAAGGATCCTCCTGTGAGCTTCTAGAGGGAGTATGGCCCTGCCCTTACTTGGACTTTTAGCCTCCAGAACTGTGAGCAAATAAATTGCTGTTCTTTTTTTTTTTGTGGTAATTACTTATAGCAACAATAGAGGCCTATGTTAGTTTGCAAAACTAAACAAAGGAATGTAGGAGAAATGGTGTAACAGAATCTCCATGGTGCCAGAGGCCACCTGCCAAGGTGGGTCTGTTGGGGCTGAGGTGGGCTGGCCTTGTGCTTCCCCCACCACAGCCTCACAAAGTCACTGCTAACCTGACATTTTAAGTGAGTCTGTTGGCTTATGTTCTCTCATAGATTGTCTTCCTTTGAATCCGTAATTACAACTGGAATTACATAATAAATTCTATGATGGTAGATTTAAACCTTGACTCTCCAGTAGAATGTAAGCTCCATAGGCACAGAGCCCATATCTGATTCCTGTTTACACATTAAACCCTCCACACCCAGAACTGCATCTGTGGCTCAGTAAGCCCTACACAAAGTTAGCTGAGTGCTTTGCATGTACTGACAAAATGCACACAATCTCCAGTTCCCCTTGGGGTGAGAGACCCAGGGGAGCAGGCTTTTCCTGCCTTGCTTCTGAAGCCCTAGAAGTCACTCTCCTACCAAGGCAACAGCAAGCTCACTGGAAAGCCATATGCAAGAACACGAACTCCTAGCTTGTTCTCACAGCTGGACAAGGCCAGGCAGCATCAGCGGCTGCTTTGTGGGTGTACTGCTCTCCTCTGCTCACACAGGGAGCAGGCAGCGCCCGCGAGAGATGAGGCTTTGAGACCTCATGAGTTATTTTGTGCGCACAGTGCTATGCCTCTCAATTAGTACCATGTAATCCTCAGAAGGCTGGAAAGGAAACCCATGCCAAAGAGAAAAAGGAATGGAGATGGCTGAGATCTAATAAGCCCATCGTGGACCCCGTTCTGTACTTAGGAAACAATCTGAATAGTAGAGCACCAGGAAGAAAGAGGCAGAGACTAATGTAATTTTCTTGAAGTCCCCTATAAAGTATTTTATTCTGTAATACAGCTACATTTGTGAAATGGCTTTATCTTGAAAGATCCCAAAGGGTTTACTAAGCTGAAAAGGAAAATATCAAGTATATGGCAATCTCAAAACACCACCAATGTACTTTTGTGATAAGGAGTGGGGACTTTGTGACAGCAGGTAGCCATCTTTAAAAGCTGATAGTGGCTTATCCTGTTAAACCCTCAGGGAGAAGTAAAGAGAGAGAAAAGATAATGGCTCACATCGCTAAGAGTCACATGGGCCTTCTGTATTAATAAGGGCTGTGACTTTCTTTCATCCACCAAGTGAATTTAAGGGAGTGACTTCTATCAACATCACTCTCCCCACTTGAAATATCTACTTGCAACACTTCTTCATAGAGAGAGAAAATGTATGTTAAGCTTTCCGGGGTTAATGGAGTTCAGGGGCAGCCAGTGTAACTTAAAAGACATGCATTTTAAAGCATAAAACATAACAACCTACAGTTTATCCAGAGTTAAATACTATTTTCTACCCAACTTTTACCTAATCCATTCCTTCCAAAATGCCTGATGCTAGCTTTTCTGCTTTGTGGTTGTCCTGGTTTGGATATGATGATATCAACTTCCTGTGCATTAAAGGAGGCTGGCGTGGCAGGGGCAGTTAACTGGCAGGAAGGGAAGTCATTCTTGACCATCTTCCAAAAAGGCAAATGATACAACTTTAGTAATGACCATGTGTTGTAAAGAAGACACAGTATAACAGTTAAAAAGTAAAAAAAAATGTAACTTTTTTCTCTTCAAGAATATTAAAACTGACTCTAACCCCAGCAATGTTCCTTCCAGTCTTCTCTGCCATTTCTCCCAGCCCATTTCCACTCCCAGCCCAAACTGCCTCTTGTGTTTCCACTCTTCTTTCCTCCCCACATGCTCTTCCAAAGTTCTGGGAACCAGGTTAGTAAAGAGAATGCTCTCCTCAGCTTGAGGGAAACAAGAAGCCATGTTGGGAAAGTGGAATTTATTCAAAAAAAAAAAACCCTTAAAAACTATTAAAAAAAAAAACTTTTAGTTTGACTATATTACTATCCACCAATTTTTTCATAAACTAGTATTTTGAAGAGAAAGTTGGAACTTATAGCCACGCCATCCAGTAGATCTAATTGCGCAGGGACAGCCTGAAATTTGCAAAGCATGTCAAAGCCCTGCAGTTGACCAGTTGGAGTCAACAGAGCTACTTGGGAGACAGACTCCAGAACGTCCCAAGCTGTGTTGTCTTTATTCACAATTCCTCACCCCGAGAAGTGAGGAATTTATTCCCATTTTATTAATGAGAAAACTGAGGCTCAGCTAGGCTAACTAACTTGTTCAGAGTCACACAGCTATTTAATCAAGATTCCAGTCCAGATTGGTTTGGGTCTTTCTTCTGTAACTCCAAAGGTCTTCCAAAACATACAGATATTTATTTTTATTTTTTATTTTGAAATGAATTCAAATATATGAGAAAGTTTCAAAAAGAATAGAGATAATTCCTTTATATCTTTAACCCGGATTTCTGAAATATTAACATTTTCCCATATTTACTTGATTTCTGTTTCCCTACCTCCACCCATTGGAGAAAAATCACAAACTCAATGGCCCTTTACCTCTGATCTGTAGAAGGGCATGTTCCAAAAACAGACATTGTTTTTCCTCTTACAGATCCATAGAACAATGATGAAATTAAAAAATTAATATGGTTGAAAGAATATTATCTAGTCTAGAAACCTTATTCAGATTTGGCCAATTATGGCCCTAATATTCTTGATAGTACCTGAAAATAAGTTCTGACTCAGGACCCAATCAAGGATCTTAACTTGTGTTTAGAACTCATGTCTCTCTGGCTTACTTTTAATCTAGAGAAATTCCTCAGCTTCATTCTATCTTTCAAGACCATGACATATTCTACTAGTATAGGCGACTTATTTTGTCTACTAGCCCACAGTTTGGATGTGTGCCATGGTCTACAATTAGCTCCAGGTCATACATTTATGGTAAGAATGCCACAGATGCATACCTGAGTCCTGTAGAATTAGGAAGCGCAGTGTCTACTAGGGTAGTATCTGTCAAGCCCCTTCTACAGAATCTTGACATTTTCTCCCTTTTCATTTACAATTATAAGGAGGAATGTCCAGATTCACAAATATCTTGTTTCTTTTCAAGCCTTCAGTGACCATATTTTCCCAAAACAGTCTTTTTGTGATCGTCAAATGGTAATTTTCTAATCCCATGATCCCTTCTACATTTATTAACTGGCGTTCTAGTTTGGAGAAGAGCTTTCCTTACCCTCCCCCTCATGTGCTAACTTATTCACATGTTTAAAGTTGTATCAGCAAGGACTAAGGATCCTTATTTTATGCTATGGTGTTAGAATCAGCTGTACCATTATCTTTTCTCACGCTCCCATTGTTCACCATTTGCCCAGTGGGAGGTCAAATATATATGGTTTTTATACCCAAGGATCCTAACACTTCAAACCTTATTGCTTCACTTATCTGCAATCTTCCACTTCCCTGTCTTGAATCCTTTAACTGGAGAATTCGTTATTTTCTGAGAACTCCGCAAACCCAGTGATCCAGTTACTGCTTGTTCTTGCTGACTAACTCCTGATTTTTTTTTTTTTTTTTTTTTTTAAGCTGGTAGTGGAGGTGAGGGGAGTTAAGTGGCAATTCTCCTAGGAGGCAACACTTACGCCCTGCCAGCTGCTGGGAGGCACAGGGGAGGTAGACTACAATCTCTCCTGAACACTTTTTCCTTTCTCATTTCTCTATACTTTTGAACAATCCTACCCTCTACCCAGATTAATTCTATCTCCCTACATTAACCTGGAAAGGAACTTTGACTCCAAGACCCATCTCTTCCTCTGTAAAGCCATCTCCACTCCCTAGGCAGAACTAATTATTTCTTCTTGGCAGCTCAATACACCTTTGGTACAGCCTTTTATTACAGAATCTATCACAGGGCATTGTAGTTTCTCTCTCTCTCTCTCTTTTCTTTCTTTTTTTTTTTTTTTGCCTTTTCGTTGTCCTTGGGAGTCTTTTCACAAGTGGGTTCTTATACATACCTACATACAGTAGTAAAAAACATTATTGAACATTTAAAATGCATTAGAATCTAGATTCAGTTCTTCTGTAAATCAGAGGTCAGGAAAAGTTTACTGACCTCTATGCTACTTTACCTCTCTAGCTTACTTTAATCTAGAGAAGTTCTTCAGGTTAGCATTTGACATGCAAGGTATTGCAGGGGGTATGGGGGTGATCGTGGGTGATGGTTTTGTGGGTGATAATTTCTCTTGCAGCCAGTTATCTCTGATGGTGGAAGCCCCCATCAGCAAGACATAAATCAATGAATATGGCTGTGTTTCAATAAAATTTTATTGACATTAATAGGAATTGGATGGTTTTGCCCTAGGGCCATAGTTTGCTGAGTCCTGATCTCTCCTGCTTCAAGATCTCCTCAGTAATTGAATCACCTGAATGTTCCTTTCCCCTGCACTGGTAGTTTTTTCCCCCTGACTAAAGCTGGCATACCCTTAAGGGTTAAATAAAACCTTACCTGAGTGGTGGGAGAAAATTGCTCCCAGACCTACTTAATAGGTTAAATTCCAGATCTGCACTTCCCAGAACCCCTTACTAGTTCCTATCCTAGCACTCTTCACTGCTCCCAATAAATTCAGTGTCTGTCTTGTACACTTCAGTGAGATTATCACAAGAGCATGTCCTCACTCCCCGTGCCTGGGATCAAGCACAGAACTTAGTGCAAAGAGTGCGCAAACCAATGACAAAAGGCTTTCACACTGAGCAGCTGGCACAGTCTTCAGCAGTCACTGAGCACCCCACTGTCCACTGGTATTCCCCTCTTTACAACTCCAGAGGTTTTAGCCTCATTTACTTGCTGTGGAAGAGCACACCCTGGGAGTAGCCCTCAACCAGAGTAATAAGTGTAGAAATACCCCAGCTGCCTCGTTCTTTGGATGTGGCAGCTCTTAAGCTCTCAGTAAGATGCAGCTCCAGTTTCCCCACACTGAGAGTTAATTTGATAACTTCTTGTTGGTTGAATTATCTCCCTACCTCATTTCTTGTTCCCTTAGAAGTGCTCCCTTTACTTTCCTAATAAAGAACTGGCACTTCAATCCTTGTTTTAAGTTTGGAGGAGACAAACATAATCTGTACAACAGCTTTGTGGGATATATCACCACCTATACTTTAAAAGTTAAGGACTGCAAGGTAGAGGGATTTAGGCGACCCAGCACATGCATAGAAGCGTAGGCTCCACACCCCTTACTCCAATTCCTGGATGTCATGTGTAATCCACCAGGTTGCTCCCAGCTGACACTCAGTCAGTGTGATTGGATGACCAAATGTCTTTCTGATATAAACCCATCCCCACATTTCACCCTGAATCCAAATGGTATATTCTCAGTCATAATACAATGTGAAACATATCATTCTGTTTAGATAAGAATGAAATGTAAAAAGTCCAGACATTTAAGTCAGTTGGATTATTTCCTCATAACTGTCAATGCCCTTAGGTGCTACCTCTTCCAGATTCTGTTTGAACAGTGGTGTATCATCCAAATCCCAGTCTTGCAGCAATTGATTGTGCATGGCCATTAACCTTGTTTGCAGTGATTGCTTTGCTCAGAGGAGGATTTACTTGGGAGGCAAACCTCTTCAGGTGTTTAAGGCATTAACCCTCTAGCTCAGAAAGTCCTGCATAGCTGGACCCAGCTATAAGCTCTTTTGTTTCTCTTTCTCACAGCACCCTGCACAGATGGATTTTGAACAGAAGGTTTAGATAAGAACCGCATGGGGTGAGGTTGACTCCAAAACCAAAATTCAGGGGTAGAGATTAGATGCAGGTCAGGACCATGGGTCCTATGGGAAATAGACCAACACTAGAGAAGAAAATGGGCCCTAAACAGGTTCCATCACTGCTGCTATAGAGAAAGGAACAGGCAGAACAAATCCGAGTGCAGCTTGTGTTTGGGTGAGAAAGAGAGTTGTCAGAGTAAGACGAGGGAAATGTTTGTTGCATTTCTACAGAGGCTCTTGCTTTTCTAGTCCCATTTCCACGGCTGCTCTGCCTAGCTATAATGTAAAAATTCTTCAGTAGAATAGCACTCTGGGTGAGCTCAGTCTCTGGAGCCAATTGCTGCTCACTATGGCACTGGGGAAGGTATTTTACCCATCTCCTCACTAACCCTCACATGCAAAGTAGAATAATAATGGCTTTTTCCCCATGGATTTGATGGGGGGAGAAAATGGCTAACTTCACGTGGATTGCCAGGGACATTGCCTATCATGTGAAAGAAATTCAACTTGCATGAGCTGTTTTCAATATTATAGGTGGTAGTATTAGTCCAGAAACATCGAGTTGGCACCATTCCAAGAATCAATGCCATTTGATTACAAAGTAGATCTCAAGGCAAGCATCCCCTTGTCCTGAACACCACTAAGAATGAGAGCGTATTCATCTCTTTGCTAAAATTCATGTAAAAAGCTCTCTCACATGCCTGTGTTTTGTTATTTAACATCCATGAAGGGAACCAGGTCGTTCAGGCACAACTCAGTTTTAATGAACTTGTGCAGGCTGCTCAAGATCACCCCTTGATTTCATCTCTAAGTGTTCAAAACGATCACTTTAACGATCTATTCTGGAGTCTTGACCCGGAACAATGTCAATCTCAGTGTAGAATCCCAGAATCTAATGCTGCCTTTTGAAATATTTGGAGTCACTCTCTCTATCCCCTGGCTCAGTGCTCCACTCTGCTGCTGCTTCCCTGCATTTTATGTTACTAAGTGCTGCTTGACAAACCTTCCCCCAACTTGGGGAACTTGGGGTTTCTTTCTTTTCTACCCATATCAGTTCTGCCTTTTTATTTTGATGATTACTTTTTTTTTTTTCCTTTTTGGCATTTTGTCCGGAGCAGTTAGAAACAGAACAGGGTTCTCTTCTCTTTGCCACCCCTCTCCTTTGCTCATCTGAAAGAAACAAGCTTTATGATTCAGCATTTTAAGACCTATTCAGGTGTCCTCGGCAGTTTCCTTACGTGTCAGTTCAGGTGCGACACCCACTCCAGAGGCCTTGTTTTCCCCTCATTCACTGTGCAATTGAACTGAACATATCAGGGACTCACTGTGAGTCAGGCATCGGCTACACGTCAGACACAAAAAGGAGAACAAGATGAATCCTGCTCTCGAGGAGCCCAAGGCAAAGCGAGAGGCAGCCAGACAGATAAGGACAGTGGCAAGAACCCCGTTCAGTATCTACCACCACAGACCTGAGCATCTCTAGGCTGTGGGCGTGTGAGCAAGTCTCTCAGCTTTCTCCTTCACTCTCTTTATGGTCCCGGCACACCCCATGCCTTTCTCTCCCACAGGCAGCTGTCAACACGAACCAGTCCATCTTTTTACTTATTCATGCAAGCTGCATATTGCCATTTTATATATGAATGTTTAGTCTTGAATTAATATAAGTACATACCTGTGGCATGTACCTTATTCTATTTTTACTTCCCTTCACTACACACTCTTTTTAGGATGTTATCACCCAGGCTATGCTTTTAGCCCCTGCAATTCCCTCTGGGTGGTGTGTCCTCCAAACATCACTGTTGATGCTGTCAGCATGGAACATGCAGCTGTGATCCCCAACACCTCCAATAACCTCCAATGACAGTGACACACTGTCGACTCCCCGGTGGCTGGGCATGAGAAGACCCTGAGTCTTACAGACCTGGGAATAGAGTTCCTAGGTCAGAGACAAGGTAGGCAGAATGGTGGCTCTCAAATGTCCATTTTCTAATTCCCAGAACTCGCGAATCTGTCACTTGAGTGGCAAAGGAGACTCTGGATATGCTTCAGGACCTTGAGATTAGTCCTGGACTGTGGGTGGGCCCAGTGTCATCACTGTTGCCCTTATCAGAGAAAAAGAGACTTTTTTTTTTATTGGAGTGGGAGAGGAACTCAGAGTGGAAGAAGGGGAAATTGCCAAGAAATTAGATGGTCTCTAGAAGTTGGAAAAGGCCAGGAAATGTCTTGTCCCTGGAGACTCCAGAAGGCACACAGCCCTTCCGACACCTTGACCTCAGCCTGCTGAGATCCCCGTCAGACTTTTAATCTCCAGAACTGCAAAGTAACACATTGGTGGTATTCAAAGCCTCTAAGTGTATGGTGATTTGTTACAGAAGCTTTAGGAAAGTTCCACATTAGGTGCCCCTAGACTTACGTTGACTGATATGGTGCCAGAAGACTCTCTAGAGTGATGGCCCTGATCTACTCCCCAGGGCTGGGCAGAAGGATTGCCATCCCCTGTATTCACACCCATGGTATCATTTGGTCTAATCCAGTTTTTTTTGTTGTTGTTTTGTTTTATCCCTGTTAGTTGTAAGGATATAAAAAAACAAATAATTGACATAAAGTCAGCATTTCCTACACCACAGTGAGGTGCGTTAGGTGGGACAGGCTTGGCTTGGAGCCCCCCCGCTGTTGTGGCTGGTCTGGGCACAATGGCAGGTGGGGTGGGACGTGGACATGATCAGGATGCCTGAGGGGGCTTCCAAGGGGCGTGGACAGGGAGAAGACACAAAACCTAGGCTCCCCAGGAGGACACAGGACTTGGTAACTCCATGTAAGTGAGAATCTTGGAAAGCAGAGAGACAGTGGTGAGAGGCAGGCAGGTCATCATCCCCTGTTCCACAGCTGGCCTGTGACTGGGTGAGTCCCTGGCCTCTCTGACCCTTGGTGTTTTTCTCTGTATTACAGTGATAAAAATAATCTTACTCTGCTCACAGGATTGCTGTGACGTTCTGTGATATCCAGAATGTAAAGCCATAGTACATTTGCATGTAGGTAGTTAGCACCCAATAAATGATGATGATGATGAGATGATGGCAAGGCTCTCATCATCACTATAATTACAGTAACTATAGTTTCTTACATTTCTCAAACCAGTCCTTCTTAATTTGCGTTATCCTTGCTGACCTTGTTCTCCTTTCCAGAGAGTAATGCACTGTGACCGATTTTCATTTTTAAATGTGAATAATTTTATACATTATTTTCAAGTAAATCTCCCCTTCCCCTATACTGCACCCCCAAACACACACACACACACACACACACACACATATACTTCATCCCTAAAAAGTCATCTCCTATTAGGATTGCTCACATCATATTGCAATTAGACAGTCTTACTTTTCTGACACCAATCCTGCAAAATCTCCCCCTCAACAGTTTTGGGACTAATTAATGCATGAGAGGAGAGAAAAACAGGGTCTATATAAACAGCAAAAACCAGAGCTGTAAGGGTTCCATGCAGTGAAGGGATGAAAATGCCATTCAGAAGGCCAGAAACAAGTGAGAGAGAAAGGCCAAGGCATTAAGCAGGGAAGAAAGAAAGGCATTTTTGGAGATAAACTTTTCAGAGTAGAAAGTAGGTGACTTAGGAGGCAGTTGATAAGTCTTCATCAGGCAGACAGGAACTCTGGAAGAGGCAACCCAGCAGGGAGCCTGCTTTGAAGGGCTGACCTCTGAAGAAGTTAACTAACACCAGCTCCTCCATCCAGGGCCTCCTGGAGCCTTTCTAACTTGCCCACAAGGAGGCATTTTCTCCTCCTCATGTTCCTCACCTTTCTCTTCTTACCCCTGTAGGAGAATGTGTTGCTTGCAGCTATGATTGTGTTCTGGGTGAGACAATTTTCTAATCATTCCCATCATGGATTAAAATAATAATTATTGACCATTCACCCTGTCTCTGTGCTAAGCACTTCCATGTATTAGATAAATATACCTCATGACATGAATGCCCATTTTACAACTGTGGAAACTGAGGCAGGTAGAGATTTAGAGTCCTATTTATAGACATAAGTAGCAAATGATGAAGGTGAGATCTGCATTCCAGCCTGACTTCTGAGTCAGGCTGTTGAGGTTCTTTTACCCCCAAAAACAAGTATAGTGCTGGACACAAAGAAAGCATTTGACCAGTGTTAGATTTGTGAACAAACTGCAGCACCTGGAATATAGCTAGCTGGGCAGAAGGTGCTAGAACCAGGACTCTACCCTCAGTGGGGAAAGGGAGCTTATTCTAAGAGGAGGAACTGGAACTCTTGGTGGTTCAGTCTGGCTTTTCATATCTATTCCAGGCATTCTCACCCCCTGCCTCCCAAGACTGCCAAGAAAAGAAACCAAAAATTGCATCTTTCCTCTTTTAAACAAACTCACCAGTGGAATACATTCTAAAAACCTATCCTGCAGTTATTCTTGAAGAGTTCAGAGCCAATCACGTTAGCTACTTCCCAAGATTAAGTCCCCTTTTCAATTTCCCCTGGATCTACCTTTCTGGGATGGCCCAATAAGGAGTTCCTGCCGCTGGCCCAGTGTTCCCCCTGGGCTGCAGGGTAGGATGGGACCTGGATGAGTGAGGCAGCCGGCCCCAGCCCACGGAGGTACAGAGAGGCCCAACTCTGAAGTAAATGCTTCATAGTCAGTTCACTGTCAATGTTAAGTTGTTAAGAATCTGGTGACCCTTGTCCTGCCTGGCCTTTCTGAACAAGGGAAGCAATGTGACTTGAATAAATCTGGGCTGAAATTAGCAGGACACAGCCAAGTATGGCACAACCAAGGCACCATTTATACATGTGTGGGAAGAATGTGGGGGGCTCCCAAGAGCGGTACAGCACTCCGGATTACTAGTAGCAGGGAGCAGTGACCAGCCCTGGCCTGACCTTGTGCCAGGTGGGAGCCCTCCTAGAACTCCTGGAGAGAACCAGACCTGCAGAACTTGCCGACAGTGCTCAGGTCTTCAGTTGAGAGACACAGTCGGGTGGAGGGGAGGGATAAATCTCTGCTTTTCCTCCCTGTCTTTCCTCCCCTGTGGTTTTTGCCATAGGTGACATCTAGAGGGTCAGGGATGGATGGAGTCTAAAAGGCCAGTCTCAAGAATGGTGAAGGGAAGGGAGAAGATCCAACTGAGCAATCTAGACTCATGGTGGCTGCCCAGGAGACAGTGTGTTGATGATGGCTAGGTTAATAGGGGTACCATTTAAAATCACTGAACAAGGTCTGTAAAAATACCAGAGATGAGGGCCTCCTGGTGGCACAAGGCTTTAAGCGCCACACCATGAAGCAATCTGCAGCCTCTGCAGCACGAGTTTAATCCCTGGCTGGCCAGGAAGCAACCCACATGGCGCAGCAGACCTCTCCTGTCTCGCCCCCTGCTCCCCTCAGCAGTGTTCTTCGGTCAGTCTGCCTGTTCTTCTCCCCACTCTGTCTCTGATGATTCCTCTCACCCCCTACATCTCTGGCCTGTACCCCAGCTCTTGTATGCATAAATAAATAAATATTTTTTTAAAAAATACCATATATGTGATGTTGAGGGCTCCTTCCACGGCAACACAGTGCTAGACTTTTAATCAAAACACCTCTCTCCATCCTTCCGACAATCTTGTGAGCTAGCGACCACTTCTGTGTGGTTTGAAGGCAGCTGAGACATAGACGGTTTCAGTGACTTGTTCAAGCAAAGTCCCCTTCACAGCCAGAGCCCCTGGACTTCGTAAAATGCATCCTTGAAGGGTACCTTTGTCTCCATTAACCTTCTTGTCTTCCCTGATCCTCGTCTTTCAGTGCTCATGACTTCATAATGGGCAAGGAAATGCTTGTTCCATGGCCACCATTCATGAGAGCTAAAAGGACACAACAGCTCTCTGCCAACTCTGTGTCAGGAATTCCTGATGGCTGTTCCCTGCTAATCTAGTACATTAGATACTTTGGGTGTTTTGTAGTTAATGATTCAGGACAAAACACCACTGTTGCTTTTTTTTCGCCTGCCCCCAAATTCTGCCAAATCAGCACAAAAGCAGACTGGGAGCCTCAGCAGCTCCATTATGGGGTCTCAGCCTCTTGGAATGAACCTACATGTATACAAATATTAGCCCAGGGCAGTTTTCAAAAGAATCTTCATTTTTACAGGGACACTTTCCATTGAACTCGTTGCTGACTCTCACTCAGTTATTTTAAAATGATTCAAAAAGAGGGAAATAATGAACTTCCATTTTGCCTTCCTCAAACATATCTCAAAATGAAATTAATTCTGAACATTTGTGAATACAGTTTATGTTCTAATAAATTCCTTCCCTCAAGAATGCTTTATTCATCTTTTCTCAGTCACCCAGCTCACTTGCCACAATTCCAATTCCAAATATTTTCTGCCCCTGGAGGCACTCTCCCTGACTCCCTCCTGGAAGGGTGATATGGTAAATCACGTCATCTCTGTGTGTGCTCTCACCCTCCTCTCTGCCCTCTCTGTGCCCCTTCCTCCTCTTTCCTCAGAGGAAAAAATGTCTTGCTAAGGTTAACTCTGAAGGTTAATCCTTTCTTTCTACCCTGGTCCATGGGGTGGGAGGTGGGGGGGCATGTCCAATATTTGATTTCTTCCTGTCACTTTCAGGGGTTTTCATTCCTTTTAAAAAAATAATCATGAATAACAACCATTTAAATATTTAAGTATGTGTTTTTCACTTGGTCCCACATGGGTTCTCATTTCTTAATGCATCTCCCCCGCCATGCAATGCTCACAGTCTGCTTTTGCTACAACATTGCACCTTCTTTTCTTAACATCTTGCTCCATTTCTCCTTTATGATGAGCTACTTAAGGATTTTCTAGGGCTACTAGTTAGTTCTAGTGACCATCTCAGCCCACATTCCTCAGTCTCTGCAGCTTCTAGCACTGCCAGCTTCTTCTCTTACCCTAGCCTTGAAGCTGGCCCTCCCAAATCACTCTAGTTTCATGTGAAGTCCCTCCTCCTACGTGGCTGTCTGAAGACTGTTCCATACCATCCTTCCACTCTGTAAGATGGAATAAAAGAAAGTACAGTGTTCTGTTTAAGAATTTGGAATATAAAGCCATATTGCCTCGATTCAACCTCCATTATTAGCATTTATTAGCAGTGTGATCTAGGCAAGCAACTTGAAATGTTTATTTTCAGCTTAGTTATCTATAAAATGGGAGCTAATACTAACTATTCCATAGGCTTTTTATTTCATTTTTAAAAAGATTTATTTATTTATGCATACAGGATCTGGGGTACAGACCAGAGGTGTGAGGGGTGAGAGGATTCACCAGAGACAGAGTGGGGAACAGAACGGGCAGATTGATTGAAGTACACTGCTGAAGGGAGCAGTGGGCGAGTCAGGGGAGGTCTGCTGTGCCATGTGGGTATCTCCCTGACTGGCTGGGGGATCGAACTCTTGTTGCAGAGGCTGTGCATAGCTTCATAGGTTGCACCTTAAACCCTTGAGCCACCAGGGAGGCCCTCCATAGTCTTTTTAGTGAGTTAATTCACTTAAAACATTTATTAAACTATAAGAATCCATGTCATTAATATCTCCAAGTTGACACCTTTCTATATTCTGACATTGGAACTGCCTTATTTTCTTTTTTTGTAAAGTTTTTTTTTTTATTTTGTTTATGCATATATAAGAACTGGGGTATAGGCCAGAGGTGCAGGTGTCCCTTCACCAGAGACAGAGTGGGGAGCAGAATAGGTGGATCTACTGAAATACACTGCTGAGGGGAGCAGCAGGTGAGATGGGAGAGGTCTGCTGTGCCATGTGTGTGTTAGTTCCCTGGCCAGGGATTGATAGCTTGATAGCACTCAGACTTTAACCCCTGCGCCACCAACAAGGCCCAAGGAACTGCCTTAGCTTACAATTGCTGATGAAATATATTATCACAGCTTAGTGACTTAAAATTGTGTGTGTGTGTATAGGCTCATAGTTCTAGAGGTCAGAAGTCAAGCATAGATGTCACTAGGCTAAAACGAGGGTGTCATTCATTTCTTCTGGGAGGGTCCAGGGGGATCCAGGATTGGATCAGTCCTTGCCTTTTCAGCTTTTACGCACCACCCCCATATCTTGGCTCATGACTTTTCCATGTTCAAAGCCAGCCGCACGGCATCATTAAATCTTCCTTTGATCCTGACCTTCCTCATGACATTTGTGATCACATTGGGGAAACCTAGACAATCCAGGATACTTTTCCCATCTAAAGATCAGTTGATTGGCAACCTAAATTCTACTGTACCCTTCATTACTTTGTCATGTAACCTAACATTGTCACAAATTTCAGGAGGATTGTGATAGGCATCTTTTGGGGAAACCATTATTTTGCTTACTACAAGTACTAGTTTATCTTTATAATAGTTCTTTGAACAACTGTCTGAATTTATGTGCTTTCTACTGTGGAACTCTATATAAAATACTTCTCTCTGTGAATTCAGGCCAGCCTCCATCTTCACTCCACTCTTATGCCCACAGCTAGTTGCAGGGCATCTCCTGGCTGTATCCCACACAGATCCGAGTGCTTAATCATCCTCCTATAACCAGCTCAGTTGCTTCTCCAAATACACAGATTTCTACAAGTGACCCAACTATTCTCCAGGTTCCTCAATATTTATTGAAGAAACAGAAATATTTCTGTCCTCTTTGGGTGAGCAGAAGTAGGTTTTAGAGGAGGTGCTGCTTTAAACAGAAACTATTACATTTGCCAAATGTGACCATCATGAGACCTCAAACCATAAGCACCCCAGAACCCCAGCTGCCAAACTCTAAAGTCCATGGCAGCATTTGGACTAAAGCTATGCTTCTCATTAATTGTTCCCACAAATGACTCCACCAGTAGAGGTACTAAGGCAAGCTTGTTCCAGGAAGTGTCGGAAACATCTGCCAACTGACCATGGCTGGAGGACTCCCTTACCTCCTCGCAGTACCCTTTTTTGGCTGTAGGGTGCTTCCACCTAGCCTGCCTCCTCCCTCTCCTGCACTCAGGATCAGACTTGCAGCTCAGACTCATAGCTCGCTCAGACTTCCCAGAGCTCGACCCTCTTCTTTTTCCAGCTGCTTCTGTAATGAAATCATTGGTCTTTGATTCCATCTTGCCTCTACTTCTCAGGGATCTGGACTAACCTGCTATGTGTCTGAGCTGGAAGATTGAAGGGCCAAGACATGGTGGGGAAGCCACTTCCTTAGGTTCCCCTGGTTCTAGGCAGATATAGAGAATTCACAGTTGCCAGTAAGGGTGTACTCCGACAATGCCAACTCCCTGGTGCCAGAAGGAGAAAGTGGGAGGAAAATGAGATGTTTTAGAAACAGCAGAGGGATCCGTGAGACAGGACTGCTGTGAGCTGATGTCACGCTTGACATAAATTGACAGCTAAATGACTAGAGATTTTGGAACAGTTCAGCAGGGGAGTGTGTGTGAGAGAGGGAATGTGCATCCCCTGAACAATGAGGACAAATCTGAGTGCTAGCTTCAGGGTGTCTCTCTCAATTAGTCTCCCTCATCCACTTTGCACACCACCACCTCCAACGTGGTACTGACTGTCAGAGGAATGGATTTCTTCACTGAACTTTCAGGAGGAGGTACAATGGGTGTGAGCTACCAGGAAACAGAGCTGCATTTGTGTGAAGAGGGCTTTTCCCTCACACACCTCAGCCCTGGAGTCCCTGGGCACAGGCTTCCTGCTATGGTGGGCAGTGGGACTGTACAGCCTATAGCACCTTCCCTTTCAAGAGCTGAATGCATTCAACAACCATCGAGTGCCTCATTGCCCAGATTTCCAGATGTGGTGGATGATTTGAATCACCTGGGAATCCATTTAAAAATCATCCCAATCATGATCTCAAAAGAAAGAGACTAGGAAACTGGAAGAAAATATGACAAGTACTTTCCCTGCAGTTTTATTGGTAAATCCAGCTTGGAAACCACACTGTTATATTCAGTGAACAATCCCAGATTTTAGATATCATTCACCTATGTCTTTACATTAAGAAACATTTTATGGGCTTCCCTGGTGGCACAAGGGGTTAAGCCTCAGCACTATCAAGTGATCTCCAGCCACTGCGACATGAGTTCAATCCCCAGCCAGGGAGCTGACTCACATGATGCAGCAGACCTCTCCTGTCTCACCCGCTGCTCCCCTCAGCAGTGTATTTCAATAGATCCACCTGTTCTGCTCCCAGTCTGTCTCTGGTGACTCCTCTCACCCCTTGTACCTCTGGCCTACACCCCAGTTCTTGTGTGCATAAATAGATACAAATAAATCTTTAAAAATAAACGTAATATTTTATGCCATCAGAAGTTGATTTGTTTGTTTTCTTGTGCTTAAGAAGATACACACTAGAATCTAACAGGAGTGAACTTAAATTCTGGCTCTGCCACTTATTTCCTGAGTGATCTTGAGTAATAGATTCAACTTTTCAGAATCTTAGTTTTAGATGTAAAATAAGGATAACAAGGTATCTTTTTCCTAGATTTATTGAGATAATTATGTGGTATAATAGTAGCTTACATTCATATTCAACCTGCTATATGCCAGTCACTGCTTCAGTTACTTTCCATGTATTAGTTCATTTATTCTGAACAACTCTTTGAAGCAGGTTCAACTAAGATTCCTTTTTTAGAGATAAAAAACAACATCAAGAAGTTAAATAACTCACTGAAGATCACACCACTAATAAGGAATAGAGATGAAATTCACCCAGGCCCTCTAGAGATAAGTTCTGGATAGGAAACTTACCCAGAAAAAAAATGTAAGGGCTCTTATACCATGTGTGTATATAAAGCACTTTACCCAGAGATTAGAATATACTAGAGAACTGTTAGCTAATATCATC